AGTGGAAAAGAACGTTCGAACGTGAGCAGCAACGTTAAATTGAGACCGAAATCTCCGATAAGAGTGTCTTTTGTGAAAAAAGATGAAGCAGAAACGAAAATTTACGAGAAAATATCGAAAACGAAAAGAGCAACGAAAGAATTGAAAAACATCATACATCAGATAGAATATTCGGAAAGCGATTACTGTTCGGATGATAATTGTAGAACGTGTGACGTACGAAAAACATCGAGTTTGTCGAGGAGAAGGAGTGCGAGTCCCAAAACGGCTTTTTCTAAATTTGTCGATCCGATCGAAGGATACACGTCTTGCTGCGAAGAAGGTACTAAAACTCTGTCGAAGAAAACAAGGAGCTTGACGAGGAAATTGGGTGATAAAAAATGTGGCATCACGTACAGCAGAGTGTTGTGTAACTGTCCCTTAGACAATTTAGTTATAGATAATAGGATTCCCTTATCACGTCCCAATTCTTCCATCGGCGATTACTGCACACAATCGAACAGATCGAAAAGTGTGGTGAGAGCGAAAAAAAATTCAGGTTCCGGTATAAAGACTCCGTTTTTAAGCGGGAGTTCGAAATTGGATTTCGACAGACCCGGTTTGGGATTGATTGTCACGATATCGAGCGATGGAATAGACAAAGAACCCAAAAGAACGGTTCAATTCATTAGCGGCGGTCCGGCGATCAATTTCGGATTGGGAGGAACCTTGGGTAGATACACGAAAAGTAAGAGTCACGATAAAAGTTTGAAAATATCCGGTGGTAGCTTTCACACGGACTTACCCGATAAATTAGAAACTTTTGCGGAATGGTCGAAATTTTCATTCAAGAGCAAAACGGATAAAGATGACTCGTCTCGAATAAAAGAGGAAACGACTCAGGAAATACTAAATGCTCAAAAACAAAGTGATAATATATTAAGGTCTATACCGATTTTAGAAAGGCAAAAATCAGCCGGAGAACTTCGTAGACCCCCGAGATCGAGCCGCGCGGCCGAAGAATACCGACAAAAATATCTAGAGAGTTTAAGTCAAAAAAAATCACCGGGAGAAGTTTTAGAACATTTCGGTAAACTCGCGACTTCCGTCACGACATCGGATATATCGAAAATATCGAACGATAAAAAGGGAGAAGAAAACAAAGGTGACACCGTACGGGGACACATAAAAACCTTTGAGAAAATATTCAAAAGCGGAATTGGACAAAATCACGGTTTCGAAAATTATCGAACGGTTCCGCCCACGAGTTTCAACAATCCGGATCCGTATTTGGGAAGCGCTTTTGTTCAATACGTGAGAGAAACGCTACCATATCAACCCAACAGTTTTCCAGGATGCAGCAATAGGAGTGCATTTAATAAATACGTTAGACCCGGTTCGGGTAGATTCGACAAAACTCTGATATTCCCGCAACAGCCACAGAAAAGTGATAAACCCTCTGCGTTCGAAAGGTTGTGCGGTGATAAAATATATTCGTCCCGAAGGGGAGTGTATGGGAAAATACCGCAACAAAATCAAAGCGTTTCCGGTAGTTTGGATTGTGTTTGGGACAAACCGAAATCCAACGAACCACCCAATAAGATAAATGAATCCGAAAACGAAAGTTCGGAAAAGGAAATCAGGCCGGCTTCTTGCACTTACGAAATCAACAAAAACAGGTCGATTGACGGACCCTCCTCATTGATCGGACCTTATTCGAACTATTCGGTAGCAGTTTCCGCTTGTAGCAAAGAGAGAACCGTTTCCGGTGTTCCGAGAACGTCTAAAAAGGGTATCATCGAACCGGAATCATCATCGACGGCTCAAAATCAACAACAACCACCTCAAGCTCGAATAGTAAATCACCAAAAAATATCACCAACGGTTAAAACGAATCCCCCTCAATATTTCAACGCTCGTAGTTTAGAAAATTACAAATTAGCACCGGGTTTCAAAACGGATTTAAGCACTCTTTATTCCGGTGTGTTTTACACAAATCCAAAACAAGAAAGTGCATCGTCCAAAGTAAATAACAGTTCGCGTATACTACAAGAATATGGTATCAGGTATTTCGGTAGTTTAAATAGAAAAGAACCAGATAATACCGTCGGCGAGTGTAGCGGTAGCGGCGGCGTCGGTGGCGGTGGCAGTAACATCGAATCGATGGGAAGTAACGCTTCGACCGTTCGAAATGCTGCTCCATGCTCGAACGTGGGCACGAGTAGGAAAATGTTATCCGGTGGCATGAGCAGCATGGTGCCCGTATCAGCCAGGATACCCGAAGAATCGATCATAGGAACGACGGTCGTTTATCCTCCTCAATACCATCCGTCAAACGAAGAACTCATGCAAGAAACTCAACAGGTGATTGATTGATTAACTATATTATTCTCATAACATTACCTAATCGAACTCGAAAATTTTAAATCGATAATCGATTCTCGTATCGATCGATTCCTAAAATCGATAATTAAAAAAAAAAAAAAATTTAATTAATTATTTACAGTCGAATTAAAAAAAAAAATTAATTTTCATCCAAGGAAAAAACACGTACGGTGGTAGCGGGGGGGGGGTAAAACCACCACGAAAACTCTCTCTATCTCTTTCTCTCACATCATTTTTCAATTTTTCATTGTTTTTCTCATTCGAATATTAACAAAAGATGGAAAAAAATTTTTTTTTTTTTTCATACATGAAAAACTTTATTGAATCGTTTGATTGATTAATTTTTTTTTTTTTTTTTTTCACTTCCTGTAATTCTTACGTAAAATACGAGGAAATAAATAATCATCATTATCATCATCATTATTATCATCATCGGGGCGCTATTTATAATATTATTATTAAATTTTTGTTATTGGCAGCAATGGTTTGATCTGGAGTTTATGTCGCTTTTCCAAAACGATTTAATTGATTTTTTTCCTAACCGGAGGAGAGGGGAGGAGAGAGAGAAAGAGAGAAGAACAATTAAAAAAGAAAAAAATTTTTTTTTTTGTTCTTCTTTCCCTTTTTTATTTTTGCTGCCGTTTGCTGCCGTTTACCGCCTTTTAAAATTAATTTCACAGATTTTTAATCTTTTTGACCCGTTTATTATTTTCAGGCGCGATTTTGTATAAAAAAAAAAAAAATTGAATGCGGTGGAAAACATTTATTATTATTTGTCCGAAATAAGGCGAAAAGAGGGAGGGATGGGGGCGGGGAGAAGGAAGAAGAGGGGGAAGTTTCTGACCTTTTCTAAAAAATTTCCAAAAATTTTTACAAAGAAAAAAGAAAAAAGAAAATTATTATTATTATTTATCACCGAATAAATTTTATAACGTCAATAAATAACCGATTTCACCGAGGAAAAAAAAAAAAATTTTTTTCCTTTTTTTTTCTCCTTTTGTTGTTTCCTTTGATTTTATTCCTTTTATGTTAATCAATTTAAAAAAAAAATATCGTTTCTCTCTCTCTCTTTTTCTTATTATTGTGTCTAAAAAAAAAAAAAAAACTTTTATCGATTTCTTTTTCTTTTTGTCAACCTTTATATTTTTTGCTTTTTTGACAATATATTTAATGATAATAATAATAATAATGATAATAAGAAAAGGTTTGAGAAGAAAATAAAAAAATAAGGTCTTTAATTAAAAAAAAAAAAAAAAAAAATTATTTTTACTTTTTTTTTCTTTTTCAGGTAAAAATATCGATTTGTGTTGATTTCAAATGATAATTTATTATTATTATTATTATTTTTCAGAGCAATAGAAGTCAGCCGGCAATAGGACTTAAGCAAACTCCAAAATCGAGGGTGAGTTTTTTTATTTTTTATATTTTTTTTTGTTGGTTAATAATAAAATGCCCGACAAATAATAATAATAATAATTGAATCGGTTAAGTATTAACCATTTTTAATTAACGCGCAATGTAAATTTCGTTATTTCTTCACCTTCGGCCTCAATTAAGATTCGTTAGGAAAAACATCAAATTATCGTTAATCGAATTTTCTTTTCCCCTCCCCCTTCCCCCCTCATTTTTGCATTTAAATGTCAAACCGTGATATTTTTGCTCCTTCGTTTTGTATTCTACTGATTGATCGTTCCGGAATTTATTTATTTATTTATTATCATGGTAAATTTTTTTTAAATTTAAAAAGCGGTTAAAAAAATTATAAATAAACAAACAAATTTAAAATCCATTTTTCGTTTTGTTTTGTTTATAAATCGTTTTTAATTCGAATATAACTCGGTAGGTGTCGCTTTTTTTGAAAAACATTACACCAGCGCCATCGCGTCTATAAATTCGAAACTAAATTTTTCGTAACGATCATTTAACATAATCATCGTTTGTTTATCGAACGGAGTTTAAACAATGTCGTTAAAGTGGTCGTACTCGTTCGGTATGGAAGCCATTTTGAACGGTGAAAAAGTTGACAGAATCATTGAGTGATCAAACATTTGAGTTTGTTTACAGTGTGCGTGTGAGGGAAAATTATTAATTCTAACGTTATTTAGTATTATTATTATTATTATTAATTTAAAAATCGAATCTCGTGATTATTAATAAAGTGTTTTTTTATTTCATTTCTCTTCTTTAAAACTATAAAATCTTACATTCGATTAATAACGAGTTTTTTTTTTCTTTTATTAAAAATAATGTAATCGTTTTATCGGTTTTTAATGTTTTAATATTATTATTATTATTAGTTTTTTGTTCTCACAGTGAGAAAATAGTGAATGAAAGCTTTTTTTTTTTTTTTTTAAATATTTTATTTCTTAACATGTGATCATTATTACCACTGGGATAATCTTTAATGATATGTACATACATACATGAAAAGTTACATTTATTAATTATTTAAAATTAATTAATTAATCTAAAAGTGTCGTGTTGTGTTTGTTTTCTTTTATTCTAATTTGTGATTTTATTTTTCCAAGTGTTTATTCATAAAAGAAAAAAAAATAATCAGGTAAACGAAATGATGATAATAGATTTGAAATTGTGGTTGAGAATATGAAAATTGTGTTGGAAATTCAACAAAATGAAAAAATTTTCATTTTTCTCAATCACAATAAAATTATTATTGAATAACATTCAATAGTGATGATGATAATAGTAATAATAATCATTTTCATTAATGATTTTTAAGTTTTCGATTGAGAAAACCTTGAATGTTATTCAATAATAATAATAACGACATGTTTTTTAAATTATTACTTTTTTTTTTATTATTATTATTTTGTGAAATTTCATAAATGGTTTAATGGTAGGTGCGTTTCAAATAATTGTATGGGAAAAATATTATTATTAGGTTGGTTTTTAAGGAAAACACATACACATGTTTCGAATGTTGATTATGTTGTTTTTTGTTTTGTCGAAACTTCAATGCAAATATTTTTGATAACATATTAATATATATATATATATGTAGGAAAAAGTAAATAAATGACTTCTGCTTTACAGACTTTTAAAAATAGATTTTAAAAATTTACAATTTATAAGACTTGTCTCATTTGTTATCATCATTTTTTAAAAACTTTCATTCGAGATGCATGTAATATAATTATTGAATTCTTTTCGATTTGACAAAATATTTATTTGATTTTTTTTTTTAAAAAAATGAATGAATTTAAATTATTTTTTGATATTGTGTGTAAAATTTACTCCATATTAAATCAAATCTGATAATTAGATTGTGGAGGGAGGGGGTAGGGGTAGAGGGTGGTTGGGAGAAGGAAGTTAATTGTTTATTATTATCATTAAGAGTGTCGTTGATTTTTTTTGTAAAATAATTTCATTCGAGTAATTTCAAAAACTTTCTTGTTGTAATGATTTATTTTTCATTCATTCATTCATTCATTCCTTTTTTTTTGGCGTGTGTGTGTGTGTGTGTTACATTTTCAAATTTGTAAACACGTTTTTTTTTTTTTTTTTTTTTTATCTCAAAGGTTGGGACCATTGAAAAAAAATGATTGGGAAAATCGTGTGTTATCATTATATCACGTTTATTAATTGATTACATTTCGAAATAATAAAATGCCATTTAAAATGTGTTTCACCAGCTCACGATTTTAAAATTTAATTCTGGAAAAAAAAAAAAAAAATTATTTTTATTTTTGCAATCGACCACGTATATTTAATGCGCATTAAATTAATAATAATAATAATTAAAATAAATATGTTAGGGTGGGGACTATCAAGGTGGGATGATTTTGTGGGGGCACTCACACTTGTTGTTTTGCCATTTATTTTATATTATTATTATTATTTTTAAATAACGAAATCAGGTATCCGTGTTAAAATGTTTTTAACCGTGACCGATCATCATCATCATCATCATCATTATTATTATTTCAACCGACTGTTAATGAGTTAATTAAAACTTTTTTTTCTTTCTCATTCATTCATTAACGTCTGCTTCTTACCTCGATGTACGTACATTTCAGGTATTATACCTTCTTGATTCAGTTCGTGTTAATTCGGTATAGGTTCTTTTTTTTTTGATGAAGTTTTCCTTACTGCCCCCCCCCCCTCAAAAATTGTGTCGGTCGTTTTAGAATCGAGGATGTTTGCATACAAGACACAAGGTGATCTGGTATTGATTTAGTCACAAGCTAAGAAGAAAATTATTTTTCGTTTATTATTATTATCATTATTATCATTATAATTAGTATTAAATGTCGATTTATAAATGAGAATGAGGTTAAAACGAACGAGAACTTTTTTTAATAAAAAATTGATAAATAAATAAATAATGTATGATGTCGAATAAATAAAAGATGAAGCTCGCACCACCATATCTGGCATATATTGTTGATTAATTAGAATATGACGATGACGATGACGACAGTTCAATTTAGTGTCACGATAAAAGTTTTGAAAGGTCAAATGTTATGGCAAAAACGTTTAGTTTTCACAAAAATTGAAATTTGTTAAATTTGTGGATTTGTCGAATGAGAGAGAAAAAAAAAGCCTTGAACTTTCATATCAGTTTATTTTTTTGTAAATGAGAACATTAGGAATTCGGTAGTAGTATCAGCAGCAGCAGTAGTGGTAGTAGTAGTAGTAGTAGTAGTGGTAGTGGTAGTGGTAGTAGCAGAGGAAACAACATGTTTTTTTTTCTTTTCGGTAAATTTAAATAAACGTGACGACGACGACGATGGAAATTTTTTTTTTTTTTTTTACTTGCATGTATTTTTCGTTAATTTCAACTTTTCGGTCTTGTTATTATTATTATTACTATTATTATTATTATTATCAGAGTAATAAAAAACTAGTTTCTTTTTCGTAACGAAAATAATCCGAAACAATGAATTAGAATATGTAAAAAACGTGTCGGCGATCGCGAATCGCATTTTAAAAACACACAGAAAAAAATTTTTTTTTATATGTATCTTTAA